TGAATTATCGAGGAACCCCGCGAATGTCCGAGTGTTTGCCAGGCGCCCTCTTTTTTAGTATATAAGCCTGGCAAAAAAACCAGCGCGAGGGAAGAGAGAGAGAGAGATAATTGAGTCAAGCGAACAGTAAGCACCGTAAGTAAAGTGTGTGAATCGCTATGATTTATAGCGTGTTTTATAAAGGTGGTTAAATTTAAAGTGACTGTGGAAATTCTGTTTATTACAAAAAGTTGCATCCAGAAAGAATAAACTAGTTTTAATTAAGAAAGAACTTGTACCGCTGAAATTCCTCGGAAAGAATTTATACCGGAAATTAACAAACGAGCAGATACGTAACAGTAACTTCCATTTTTCTTGCCTAACAAACAAATCTTTTTCAATAAATATTTCATAACGGTACTATTTCGTTTTTAAACACATTAGTGAAATACTCATAAATATATCATTGGTTTTATTCTCACGCCTAACAAACACAATACTTCTGCACAATCACCATTTCTGAGCTGGCAAGACCGATATTTTCTTTGTACTTTTTATAATCAGAATTTCGTTCTATAATCAAAACGCTGACCTAGTCAATGTTGGATATCAAATATTTGAAGCAGTTTTTACATTTAATGTAAAGGGTGAACTGCATCTTAAATGTTGTTGATATTAAAAGAAACACATTTTACTTCCAGCTATCTGATGTCGAGGCTGGTGGAGGCACTGCCTTTACTTATGCTGGAGCTGTGGTTTGGCCAAAGAAGGTAAAATTACATTTAATTAACGTCATTATTTGTGTTTCAACAACAATCCGGATATTATGAACATTATAAATAGAATCGGTTGTCTGATAAATCAACAAAATTGAAAATTTGGGGAATTCCATAAACATTACGTTTTTGACAAATACTATCCAATTTCAAGGGATCCGCTGCGTTCTGGTGGAATTTGAAACGAAACGGTGAGGGAGACGAGATGACTCGTCATGGGGCGTGCCCTGTGCTACACGGATCTAAGTGGGGTAAGTTTTAAGGGTAACCCATATTATATATCAGTTCTCTTACCCAAGATGTCACATTCAACAAAGGTGTATATATAACTATGTTAGGTGTATATCAACATACAGTATGTTATATATATATATATATATGTATATATATATTAGTATGTTAGTGTATACCAACATATAGTATGTTATATATATATGTATATATATTAGTATGTTAGTGTATACCAACATATAGTATGTTATATATATATGTATATATATTAGTATGTTAGTGTATACGTATATAT